GTTCAATGTAAATATTCTTGTACATTTTACATGCTTAATAAGTCTATAATTGGACTAATAAGCCCATAATTATAAAAGTATGGAAACATTGCACTGAATCCCATACACAACATTTGATTTTTTTTTTGCATTGTCTTTCACATTCATCCTTTTATTCTTCAAAACCTAGGGCTTAGCAGGCTTCATTAAAAACCTCACTCCAAGTTTATGCACATAAAATTTTGTTTTGTAAGATGCCCCAGGCACAATGGCATCTTTACGGACATTGACTCAGTGAGTCCTGTAATAGATAAAATAATGCAAAATGTATATACCTACTAGTATGATAGTGATGTTTCTAACAGGTCCATTGCAAATGGATGTTGGTTTGCTCTTATTGTTAGCTAGCAAATACTTTTTTTATTTAGATTATGAATATTCTGTTTTTTGAGGTGATATTTCCCTATTATTGATTTTGAATTAGAAAATAAAATTAAGAATTTGGAATTTTCAGAAAAGTAAGAGAGGCAGCAAGCAGAGTGGTGGTAACTTTTACATCGACAAAGAAAATCGCTCTCCTTAGATCAACATTTCTGCAACTGAATAAATATTTCCGCAGTGCCAGTGAAGAACTTGCAGAGCTAGATGACAATGTTACTGCTCCCCAGGCCAAGCCCACCACCCCTGAACCTGTTAAACAGAAGACAGAAACTACAGCCAAGGTGAACCAGGCAATTCAGCAAATGGCCAAGTGTTCTCTATATTTACTTTGCAAAGAAGGTAATAATAATAATAGGTGGAATATAAAAAATATTTAATTTTTATAATATTGTAGTACATTTTTGATGCTGAATAAAGCAATAACTTAATAAAGCTTTATGTGTACATAATTCAAAATCTAAAATGATAACAAAATGTAAGCCTTTTGTTCTTTGTATTTCAGCTCGAATAGAAATGGATCCTCACAAAGAAGTGCAAGCAGTTCTTCTAAAGCCTTGCATAGACACAGATCCCACTCTGGTAGGGCTGGTGCAGAATCATGTCAACATCATAGCTAACTTGGCCACGTTTCCACTAAACAGACCAAAGACTACCACATCTGAAGAACCCACTGTGGTAGATGTGGCAGATTTTAAGTATGTTTCCAACATATACCAAATTTTACATGCATCTTTATATAGAATGTATAAATAAAACTTTACAAAATTTTACAAAGAATTAGTTATAAATATGATGAAAGTCAATTATGTATGTATCAGCTGCCTTATGTGTACTTGTACACAAAGAAATGAGTAATTATGTAACTGTGATATCTTTGAATTTTGAACAACCATAGTGCCTGCAATGAAAGATAAAATATTCTGTTAAACTTTTCAGGAAAAAGCAAAGGAAAGTTAACCACAGTGTAGTGAAAGTATTGATATCATCTGGAGCACTGTGTCTCATAGACTTACTTTATGCCTACACATCCAAGCTCTTAGAGCCAAAAGTTCTTAATCATAGCAGCCCTCCAAAGAGTAAAGGACAGTCTCCCAATGAACAGAGCAGGGTGAGAGTCAAAGGCACACCTCCAGGCAAGAACAGTGTCCAAGGAATCAAAAAGACATCATCTCTTCTCTTTAATCCAAGGTGCAATTTTAAAGAAATTTATGAAGAGAGTGAACAAGGACTTATTATATCCCTTATTTGTGCAATTAAACATTTTGCAGAATGTTCATCCACAACATGTTTTAACAGCATAGAAGAGGAGATAAAGCTTAAGATGCTCAACCATAAATTAAAAGCCACTTGCAAAGCTAAAGGATTTCTGAACAATGCACAAGCTGGAGGTGAGGACCCAGGGTATCCAACCCAAGCATGGGGTTCAGTGACTTCCAACAGGCCTTCCAGTAGAGGTCCTATAGCCAGGCCTCTGACGCCACAACAAACTGCAGATGTTTTTGGCAGAGTGAAAGAAAAACCAAAAGATTCTCTGAGAAAAATGCAGAGACCCAGCACTGCAGATAAAGTTTGGGATCCTAAAAACCCTTTTCTCTCCTGCACTCTACATAGGGACCCCTTAGTTACACTGGAGCAGGAGTATAATGAAAGGATAAAGAGAGAGATTGACTCCATGAGATTGAACACTAGAAAAATGTTATTTCAGAGGGGATGTTTGGAAGCTGTGGGACCATGGTTAATTGCAAATGAAGTTGAAATTTTGGTAGGTTGAAGTAGTGTTACGCAATCTAAGAGTTTAATTTATCTGGCACAAATTTGCTATAATGAAAACAATACGGTAGCATACCATATGCACAAACACCATACTATTGTATGTGTTACCATATGCATGATAAAAAGTAATCAGTTACATTCACATATCCAGTTTATGATAATTTCAATTTTGCAATTTTAAAAGGGAAATAAAGGGGAGAATATTATTTTACAGTTATATTCAAAACATCTGTATTTTATAATCTTTCAAGGAACCAGTTGGAGATATCTTAAGGTACATGGTACAGTCATTAGGAGAGAAGCATCTGCCTCACCCACCAACAGATAAGAGAACTGACAGAATGTCCAGAACTAGGTATAAACATATTAAGACTGGGCAAGCTTTCCTCTCAAATATGCCCTTAACTTGTTTGTCTGCACTTCAGTGTTTTAGTTATTGGGACTTGTGACAACAAGTTTTTTTTCCTTTTTAAGACACATAAAGAAGTGCTTTTCAGCTTCCTCAAAATGTAGTGAGAAATGTTTTGGAACCAAGTTGAAAATTAATCTTTTCACTGTTTATAAACAAGATTTTATTTTAATTGTTTAGACCTGTGTCAGCTACAACACCCAAGGATCAAGAAGTGGTTCTGAACAAAGCTCTAAAACAGATGTCATCTAAGGTTGCTGAAATGGTTAGAGAAGCACTAGGTCCAAGAACTGCATTTTCTCCATTGTCAAAACTCATTGAACCATCAGCAAAACTACGGCCATCAAGTGCAAAGGCAGTAATGATGACAGGTGATTTTGTACATTGGGACTTTCTTTTCATAACTCTCTTCTTTTTTTTCATAAAGCTAGATACTATTCATAATATTGCACATACACGTTTTCATTTTATTGTCAGATAGAATAACATGTGATTAATTTTATTCTTTCTAATTTGACATTTTTTTCGTAGTAGAGATGTCAACAGAACCCCATTTTATTGTGTTAAAATGATTGTTTTTTTTAAATTAGAAACACCTAAATCAGGGCAAGCTCCGAAACAACCAATTTCATGGAAGCCAAGTTTTGATCTTTCCCAAACTGTAGTACAGCAGTGCCAAAGGGACCTAGTGTTGAAAATTGGACCTTATATAGTGCAAGGTCTTACAAGCAGGCACAAGGCTGTCAGGAAGACGTGTGTGTTCTTTATGAAGGACCTAGTTGAACTTGAAGATGTAAGGCTGTATTAAGGGAGAAATTAAGTGGCTGTGACAAGTTTACAAGTGTGTGTAATCTCAGTGGAAATTAATTTGAAACGGCTTTGTCAGACTGTGACATTACTAAATTCTTGGTTCTCTATGCTAGTGGCTGATATACCTTTATATATAGTTTATATATATATAATTCTACTTTTTTGTAGACATGGATATTAATGCAATTGTCTCATCTTGGGGTGATGAAGAGAATGGTCGACTTCCTTAGGGTAAATGATGATGACGAGTTACTGGAAGTTATGGGTAAATACCAGTAAATCCGTATTTACTGTATATTATTTATATCATAACTTTGAACAAACTTTTAATAAATACAAATTTCTTATTAGTCTAAAGGAAGAGAACTTTGTGATATCTTTTATTAAAACTGTAAACTACATATCACATCTTCATAAAAAATTATAAATATTGATTCTATAAGAGACTTATATCTATAGAAAATTTTGCTTTATTCTTATTTTGTGAAGGATTGATAGTGGCAAGGATGCTGGTGAGTAGTGATGACAGGCTTGGGCAGTTATTTGATACACATGGGGGTCCAACTCTCCTGATGTCAATGGCAAGGAGGACCACTGGATTACTGAGAGATGAGGTGGGGCAGACACTGAAGTCTGTTACGCATGGCAAGTATATTGTTTAAGTTCAACTTATTGTATAGGATCAGTGAGATCACAACTGCACTTGGAACTACATGTAGAAGTGCACAGAAATATTCTATATCTTCAACGAACAGTGAATTGTAAACTGTCAATGTATTATAAAAGAGTCACTGGGGCAATTTGTTCCTTGGTTTCTGTCACACATTTGTTGATGAATGTCAAAATATTAGTGAATGTCTTGCTGAAGTTTGATTGGCTTAATTTGTTTTGGTTAGTTTGCTTACTGGACACACTTTTGGACAGCAGAATTATTTTAAACCTGCTATACAAATTCTTTGAATTCTGTATTCATGTCATCACTATCTGTGCAAATATGTTTGAATATTGTAAATGCTAATGTGCAGTCTAATTTCACTTTTGTACTTGCTGTATTTTATTTTCTAATTTGATTTTATTTTCACATATTCAGGTCTGAAGAAGCAAAAGTACAAGCAGTTACAAAAAGCTACACAGCACCCTCAGAAAGCAGACATTTGGGATCAGGTAAGGTCCAACATAGATATGTACATGTTTGAAAATGTAATTGTTTCACACTTGCTGTATGAGCTAAATTTAATTTAAGCTACAACAGAGGCAATAGTGAAAAATTATTGAATCACAGATGGGATAACTAATTTGGAATAATTGCATAATAAAACTCTGTAATTCAACAAACTACATTAATCAATAAAAGATATTTATATTGATATATATTGTATTGATCTTTTCCTAAATGAGAAATTCTATTAATTTAATTTTTTTTAATTGCCAGGTTTTTCAAAAATGGCAGGAACAAGACAGAGTAACACAAATATTCCAGAGGCCATACATCTCACCTCAGCATCAGGTTTTATAGAAACCACAACACTGATATGATCTTTCAACTTCTTGAAACTGTATGACATTTTAAAATATTTCAAAATAATATCCCAAGATTCCGAACAGATTAAAACAAAAATGTTTATTTGATGTGTTCTCATACATTTTTACTTTGCAAATTTGTTTGCAGGTGCCTGTAACCTGTGATGATCATTAGTTATTATAGCTTGTGATGTAATGTCCATATGATAGTACAAAATCATATCTTAAAACAGATACACATTTAACTTTTTTGAAATAGCTAAAACTTATACAAATATGGATATCTAAAAAAGTGCAATTTTATTTACATTTAAGACATTTCTAGATATTGTTTTGCTAGAATTGTGAATAAGTGCAATAATTCTAGATATGACAGCTGGAGCAAAATGTACCAATTATTTAAATATTGAAGAATAAAGGTGTCTACATATCAGCATTGTATGTGTGTGCATGCATTTCTCCTACATTTATCTAACATCAAGACCTTTTGCTGGAAATGCCAGTGAAATAAATTAGCAATATAATGTTCTAAAAAGCAGCAAAAAAGTACTTTTGGCATTTTTGTACAACAAAAGTCAAATTCAAATCTCATATTAAAGTTGTTTAAATGAAATGAATAATTATTCCTTGTCAGAGAATTATATTTCGAATTTGACTTGAATATCTGAATTCTTCATGTATTCTTCATGTACTTTATCAAACATTTCACTTTGGGCCACAGTGAAATAGTTCTTCCAGTCTCCCACAACACCTGAGGATCAAAATATCTTCAATTTTAAAACAATTACAACAAAACATACAACAAAACCGAACTGTGGGATGATTAGGGATATTGTAACCCTTGTGACCACTTGTCATCCAGATACCGAAAATGAGTTCTTTCCTGCATCTAATTATTGAATAATGCATCTATCTTTGTGAGATGAAATATATGTGTAATTAATTTAGTCACAGAACACTGAAGATTATTACCCAAAAGAATGTATGTAAACAGTAAATAAGGAGTTTTGGGAAAAGGGTGACAATATCCTTTACTGGGTATATGAACAAAATAGTTTTCATATTTCTAGATCTTTTTCATAAGATACCTCCTTATAATCACTTAATTTAATTTTGTATTGCATTGTATAAATACAACCTTGATATTTTTGCTTTGTTGTTGCAATAAACATCTACACCTTTTCAAATGAGAAGATTTTGCACACTTACCTTTTCTCATAAATAATGTATATCTTGTATGTGACTTGGCATCTTTCACTGATTTAAAGTTGCACTTGTCAGCGACTTCCTTTAAGAACTGACTACTTCGAGGTAAGCAGAGATGTTCTGCCATTCTCCCTGCTTCCACTTCAAGGTTCTTGAAAATTAAACAAATGTTTATGATAGTCCTATTGTAAATCAAAATGTTGTAAGAAATGATAACTATCTAAATTTTATCCTTTCAAAATATGTTAAACAATTTTTTTGAAGAATTGCTTGGAAATAATTAAATATATACTACAAAAATTTGATAAATATTAAGTACTTAATTCCTTTTCTTACTGGAAAGTTATGGACAGAATTATCCATTTGCAAATGCATCTTGTATATTGAAAAGAAAAAATATCTAGTATCATATTTTGAAAGATGTGATTTATTCGCTTTCTACCAGGGTCACACATTTTTCACTATATATTTGCATGTCTGGCTAATTCATGACATGTTTCTTGCCCTGAAGAAAAATGCAAATAATTAGAGTTTCAAATAATTTGTAAAAGAGAACAACAAAACTTGTTCATTATTATCATGTTTAACTCAAACAGAATATGCATACCTGTATCATGTCTTCATAGGCCACAAAGAGAATGTTAGGGTTACTTTTAGCCGCTTCTCTCCACCCTAAAACATGTTCCCACCAGTTACCATATATAACTGCAAAATAATAATATTAATAATCACTCTTAAGCCTAACTAAGTAGATGATTCAATTCATTTAAATAGAAAAACAGTCTACTTCTATGTTGTACCTTTTGAAATATATATAAAAAACAAGAAACTTGGCAGCAAGTAAACAAATATTTTGAAGTTCTTTTATAGTTTGTATGATGAAACTAACATTGCTATCAGTATCTCTTTTCTCTCAATTTGTAACTGGTTTATACAAATGTTTACATCTTCAACCACCTTTTCCTGATAAAAACATGGGGAGAAAATCACTCCATTCCCCATTAAATTTTGCATATTGGTAAGTTTTGCAAAAGTTGTACAGTGAGACAGCAACATCTTTGGGGTTTCTGATGATATAAATCACTTTTGCATTGTTGAGCAAATCCTTGGGAGCATGTCTATGGTGAAGATGGGCTGCCAGAATTCTAGGAGTCGTCAACTGTGTTTCCAGGTATTCATGGCTTAGGCCTGCCAGTGGAAAGTGTGACAGGGGGTAGTATTCAGTTTTCCCTTGTAAAACCATGTGCATCACTTCCAGTATCCAGTGGCAGCCTAAAAGAGAAGGTCAATGCACATTCAATAATTTTCCCAACAGGCACAAAATTCAACATATTTATACAAGTACCGATGTAACAGGAATGTAAGTCCACTAGGAACAGTAGTCTGTTCCCCAATACTCCAACTAACATTAACCTGTACTAAGCATATGGGACCCGGGATTTCCATTCCTAGGACAACCATTCCTGTCACACCGGGTCCATCTAACCTATGAATTTTGCAACATCAACACAATTTTGGAGATTTAAGAAAGGTGTCAAGCTAGATCAATTAATAGAGAGAAAAGAAATTTATGTGTGCATGAATTGAGGGGATTTAATGCTGAAGAAAAAGACGGGGGTTCAATATTTGTAGGTTTATTAATGAATGTACATGTACCTGATTTGGGGAAACCACACTGGAAAGTGTCAGAGTCACGCACAGGGATTTGCTGAAGAATATTAAGATTCTTGCCAATGTCGGGGTAGCAGGGGAAATACACTCCTTCCCATTCAATCAGCTGCGTTCTGGTACAGCCACTGGCATCTTCCAAGTCCTGTAGAGACATTCTTTCTGATTTCCACTTGAAGATTCCCTACAATATATTTAGTTAACACTTACCTATCAAAAATTTGTGCTTCACCCAAACCTATTCAATACAGGTATATACCGGTACGTTCAGTGACTGTATACAGTACACATATACTTTGCCAAAAATAGTGAAATTGCCGACCTAAGTAATGCCCTTGGCTCATACTTCTCATCAGAAATAAAAGTTTTGACCTTTCCTTGAGAGATTTCCAAAAAGTTATTATTTACATACCCTAACCTAGTAGTAACGGCGGTAGTATAATTTCGACGGCTGGTCAGAACCTGACACGTAAGGCCGAAAACTGGGGTAAGCTAGTCAGCAGGTTGATGTGAACTATGCTGACAAGCAGTGTATTACGTAAATCACTCACGCCCGGCTGTCACCATGTTCGATTCGCCATACTATCTTATCAATAATAGACAGTATTGAAGAATATCAGTAGGCCCCTAAATCGACTATATCAAGAGCTCGTCGGACCGATTTCAAATTATAATATCTAGATACGAAGAACGGGAAGTAAAGTGTCGAGTCGCGAGCCTTACATACGTCCGACCTCGGCGAGTGGTCGAGACGGAAGTAGGCCTACGTTTCTTTCACGAACTGGTATCGATGCATTGCTGGTGAGGCAGTAGGCCTACGTAGCCTACCAATTATTTCAGCGTCGTTTATGCCTTTGTCACAACCAAGAACAACAAGAGAACTCCTCGATGACCCTTTATTAATACTGTCTCATCTACTGTTAGTCCAGCTTTTATATATTTTATTATGTGAATCGTTTACATACATAATTGATATTCTCTGACTACATACACTGTACATAATTAATGTTCTCTAAGCTACAGTTAAAACAAAGTTAAAGGCGGGGGGGGGGGGCGTTTTTTTAAAAATTTTTTATTATTATTATTTTTTTTTTAGGAATGACAGGCCGCGAATACAAAGCCGTCTCTGGTTTCCCTTGGCGTCGGCTTTGGCGATATAAGTTTTGTGTAGTCCTTGCCATTTTAATGTCGACTGTTGAGTTGGCCCAGTATGACCATATGAACAGTCTTGATAAGCAGGGGCCCAAGAAGGGGGGAGGTGCATAGTAATGTATGATTGGGTAAAGCAATAGCGGCGACGTGACATACAAAAAAAAAAAAAAAAAAGTAAATGCACTTATTGCCGATAATCCCACCGAGAAGATATCACTTTTTGATGAATGGGGTTAGCTATTGACTCAATTTAAGTAAGATCAGTGGTGTAGCTGGTAAAAGATAGAGATCGATGACCATCCCCGCCTAAGCATCATTTAAAGGACTTTTAAGAGAAGAGAAGGGAAATATTATAGACGACGCAGATTTTATGACCATCAATAAGTTGTCAAATTGATTACTTATTCTAAAGTATGCACCGTTTTTTATGCAAAAGGTAATTTGTACGGATTCCTTCTTCGCGACTTCCCGATTACGGGGCCATGTTTAACGTATGGTCTGGCAAATGTATTTCATCCTGCGCAACGACAGTCGACGAATATGGTCTTATCATCAACGTTGAAGTTCATGATGTACACAAGACCTTGTTTGAGAAGCCGACACGGAGCGTTCCTAGATAAATTACTTTTTGTCCTATAACTTTTTTTATTGCTGAGATTTAGTTTGGCTTCAGCTATGACGTTAAAGAGCACAATGGAATAAAAGGCGGTCCACACCGAACGGTTCTGCATGGTTTAATAAACAAACCCCTAAGAAGAGGGAATCATTAAAAAACGTTTAAATGTGTAAAAACTGGCGTGCTTACCATCCATGCCAGTGCGACGATGCGAATTTTGAGGAAAACATATCTGGAAAATAATTCCACAGGGAATATATCACATTTGTCTGCTGAACGCGGTTTACAGTTGGTATGTCAGGGGCGGATCCATGATTATTTGAAGGGGGTGGAGGTGGCCGTTTTTATTAGGGATGGCTGGCTTTGCCTTTGGATACAAAACCGAACATCGCTCCCCTTGTTGTCGGGCTCGTGGCCCGCTGCAGGGCCCCGCAAATTTTTGGAGATCAAATGGTGCCATTTGATATGGTTTAGAACTATGATTCCGCTAGTCAATATTGTAATTTCAAGAGGGGAATATTGGTGTGATTTTTTTACAGAAACCAAAGTGAGTTCAGAACCCCCCTGAACCCCCTCAAATCTGCCATTGTTATTTATAAGAGATACAGTTTTGCCATGTTTCTTGTAACACATTTGACTTTATCCCGTCACCATACCTTCTAGCTAATCGTGGATGTAACTGAATTAATTGAAATTTAAATTAATGGCTAAAATATTATAAAAGCACCAGACAACTAAAAATAATGTTACTGAGTAGGCCTACGCTTTTTTCAATTTTTAAAAGCCTCCGCCATTCTTTTGTTTTTAATTTCTCCCTCTACCGATTATTTCTATTATTTAAAGACATTTTGAAAATAAAAAAAATACAGAAAAAAACTCAACACATGCTGCTTTTCGGTCTCGTTCATCACCAGACGTGACGAGTCAAAATTGACCCACTCGTTCGTGCGCCACCCTCTTGCTGACGTTGCTCGTGAGCCACCGTCGATTAGACGACGTCCTATTATTTTATTTTAATGATTCTCGTACATTTTATAATGAGAATATATTTTGTAGCAGGGCAATTGAAAAAAAAAAAAAAAAAAAGGAACTTGCAACACCCACTTTTACCAAGGAGTTCTGTTATAACTCCTTGCTTTTACCAAGCCGAGAAACTTAACTTTCTTTTGATTGGTTGACCTATAACATTTTGGCCAATAGTATCAACTTCCGGTGAGCGCACATGCAATGATCTATGAAAGCGAATGCTCTCTCGATATTTCCACAGATTTCGGAGTTTAATGCATTCGGGTTGTCCTCTTTCGCCCAAAAAAGCTAAGATTGAAGCCGGACAATTTTCAACTTGGTCCAGAATGACAATCGGAGAAACTTCGGCTTCCAGTGCTGAATGCGACTGCCCCTTCATCCAACAACCAGGCTCCATCATACGGAAATCATTGAATGATACCAGACAATATAGGTACTGTTGTCAAAGTCTAAATGCATATTGATGAACATGTAGTACACAATGACACAGTGGTTTTACTCTTTATTCCCATGTAGATGTTGATGGGCACCTTCAACGGACTTGATTTGAAAATAGATTTCTTCCCCTAAGTCTTAGAACAAAATGTGTTCATCTTACAGTAAATAAGAGCATTGAGTCAACCAGACTGTCTGATAATATTAAATATTCGAGTCAACTACGACACACTGGTTAATGGCCTACAATTTTAATACCACATAAACAGTTATATTTTGCATTTTCAGAATTGTTACTCTCTCAAACTCTCTCAAAGTCTTGCTAATATCTGACTTAAAACCAGGAGAAGTGGCAGCAGTTCTTCAAGATGAAGAAAGTGAGGATGAGGAGGAGGAAAATGATGGTAACATTGTTTGATATCCATTAGCAAAACATCAAGAAAGCTCCTTTTAGGCTTATATCCCAAGTATCTCAAAGATACAGTCATGTAAAATAAATAATGGGAAACAAATGTCATGTAAGTGCTGTCTAAAAAAATAAAACTGCTTTCAAAAAGCTGGTGATTTTAGGGCATTTATACAGAATCAGTTTAGAGCCATGATAAATATCCACAGGTTTGTATATAGATATTATCTCCTTTGACCTTTCTTTAGAATGTTTGCTTTAATTAATTTCAACTTTCATTTTAGAATCTGGCAGTGAAAGAAGTGAAGGGGAATCTGGATCAGAGGTTGAAGATGGGGATCCTAGTGATGTAGAAGAAGAAATTGAAGAGCCTGGTGATTTTTCAAACCACACCAAACATAGAGATAGTGAAAAGCTGGTAAGTCTTTAATTATTTTTACACAGGCTTGGAAAGGAGATGAAAATGAATTTTTCTAGTTTTGCAGTTTTTCTTCTCTGAAAATGCAAAAAATATGTACTATATTTAAAGTTTGATCAAAATTGTCCACATTAAAAAACATAAATTGTGATTCAATATTATTATTTTTTATTTTGTATATTCGAACATCTTGTGATTTGTTTTTAATTTGAAAATTCTCATGGTTTGCTTACAGTCAGCTGCGGCATTATGTATTGGAGTTGGAAGCTTCTCAGACCCTCCAGATATTCCTGGACTAGCACATTTTCTTGAACACAGTAAGTCGTATGAGGAGATCTTGGATACTGCTACCTATTCTCAAGCAGAGCTTGTTATTACCTCTGCCAAGGAGGTTATGTTTTCACCCCTGTTTGTTTGTCTGTTTGTTTGTCATCAACATAACTCAAAAAGTTATGGACCGATTTTGATGAAATTTTCAGGAACTGTCAGAAGTGGGCCAAGGAAGAGATGATTAGTTTTTGGTGGTGATCTGGATCAATAATCAATCAATAATAATAGAAAAATTGCTGCCTTGGTGGAGGTCTGCGCTCTCGGAGTGCTTTTCTAGTCTTTGATATGTGAAACAAAACAACTTATATTCATTTGGTTTCATATTACACCCTCACTTCTTTTATTTATTTAGTAGAACAGTACTTGGGTGAATGTTTCTGATGGTATTTACATGTACTACTAGTTTGTTACAACACAAATCTCTGGAGAATATTGTTTATGTTATTAGAAATTTAATGTGTTCAAGGTAAAAAACTATTGTGAATTTGATATTTTATTCTTGCCTTAAGTGGTATTTATGGGCAGTGAAAAATATCCAGATGAAAATGCATTTGATGCATTTATAAAGAAGCATGGTGGAAATGACAATGCTTATACAGACTGTGAGAGGGTAAGTCAAATGACCAGAATAATTCTGGATAGTAGAATACAGATATTGAGGAATCTTGTGCTTGGAATGCATTAGTAAATAACTGATCTTTTCCATAGATATAAAAAACAACATTTAATATTATAAAACATCTTGCTTTCATTCATTAAATGTTTTCTTCACAATTTGATATTTTCAGACTGTGTTCTACTTTGATATTCAAAGGAAGCATTTTCGTCATGCTCTGGACATATTTGCTCAGTTCTTTACTTCCCCACTGATGAAACAGGGTGCTGTTGACAGGGAAATCAAAGCAGTGGACAGTGGTAAGCATAATACCTTGAATTAAAAAACGTTGATAGATTATGTATAGTAGATCTGTTTTGAAATGTTACTTTCAATTTTTTTTTTTTACCTCGGCCTCATATTAATGATACCAGCCAGAACGTTTAATCACAAAGTTCTTTCAAATCAACTTTTTTTTTTCTTTGCAAATTTAGAATTTGACATGAACCTCAATTCTGACTCGGCTAGAAAAGAACAGCTTTTAGGCAGTTTGGCCCAGCCAGGTCACCCAATGGGCAAGTTCATGTGGGGAAATTCAAAGTCACTTAAGACAGATACTGCAGCTCAGGGCATTGATATCTACTCCAGGCTTCAGGATTTCTACAGAAAGCACTATTCTGCTCATGTAATGACATTAGCTGTCCAGTCAAAAGGTACTTGAATATTTTCCAGTTTTTGTCCAATTTTTGGAAACTATATTCCCAAAAGCAGAAGCTATTCAAAAGGGAGCCTGCCTTACTCATGCCTCCCTGCTGATAAAAGAATGTTATGTATAGATGAATTAATAATTGGATAATGGTTTACTCAGCATTGATGTATCTTTTAGATTCTCTGGACAACCTTGAAGAATGGGTCACAGAGATATTTTCAAAGGTACCAAACAAGTAAGTGATTGATTAATGAGAAGAGATAGGATGGAACAGTTTGGGTTAAAAAGAATTATATACTATTGTGTAGAATTCATTATGATTGGACCGTTATTTGAGTATGCAGGAAAATAAAAGTTGCTTTTGTTTCCTTTTCTAGTAATTTACCAAAGGACAACTTTGATCATTTGAAGGTAAGGTTGTACTTTTTGATGCAATTAATAGAATATTGTATTTTTATATACTCCTCATTTATACTAAAATGGTAATTGTAATATTATGTTTAAAATACATACTTATTAGTAAACATACCTATTAGTAAAATCACATTATTTTTTGCAGGACCCATTTGAAACTCACAATTTCAACAAGTTATACAAAGGTACAGTCAAATGAATGTGTACAATATTTGCCTTAAAAAATAAATGGTAGATATTATGTTTTCCCTTAATGCATTATACTTATCTCATTTTTTATAGATACAAAAATCAAAATGGAATTTTTAAATCATTAAAATATTTTGCCATCATTTGTAATAAAAAACAGCATGATTGGTATTGAGTTATTTTAAGTGTGTAAGACAAATCAAGTTCTCTGCCTTATAGTTTACATATTAAACTTAAATATACCAAGATGTTGTTCTGCATGACAAATATTTAACTGTCCTTTAGTTATTCCTGTGAAAAACTTGGATCATTTGGAAATCACCTGGGCATTGCCTCCACTAGGAAAGCACTACAGGTATGTTTTCTTTTATCTTTTTTTTTTATTTAGAGAGAAGATTCAAGATTTTTTTTTAAAATAGAATGTTAGTGAACTTCTGATGTAATAATTGTTATAATTTGTTTGTTATGGGTTCCTTTTCTTTTAACTCAGTTAAGTAATTGTTTGATAAAAGATACTTTTATATTTTGTTGTGTTTACAGGGCCAAACCATTGAATTACATCAGCTGGCTTTTAGGGCATGAAGAAAAGGGCAGTATCATATCATACCTTAAGAAAAAGTAGGTTCTATTTCTAATTGACTACCCAAGTAGACTCACCTCTCAAAAGACACCTTCAAGAAATTGCCAAAAACCAGAAGTATGTGCTTTTTTCGCTGTTTTTTCCCAGCATGCCTAACGTAAACACTGTGTTGTCAAGTAAAATGAAGCGTCTGATACTAAGTATCAAATGTGGTGTTCAGTACACTTTGTTCACATATACAAATCAAAGTCAGAAATACACGATTTAAACTGTCTAATTAAGCAGTTTAAATTTTGATTATTGAACCTTCTATAATCTCATGGTTATTTTCTCAAAATTTGCATAAGCTATGAAATATTTCTCATTGGAAGATCACCCAGCAGCTTCCCAAATAAATTCCATGACGTCACAATGTACTTTGGTTTTCATCGAGATCTTGAAGGCATCAGGGTTACCATTTGCAGCACATTTAAAGTGTTCTATTTCAAAATCTATGCAGTCTTTTGGATTGAAATTTGCAACACCATATTCTTTACATGATATTGCACATATGTACAAAATTTGAGAGCTTTAAACATCACGCTTTTTCTACGATGCCTATTCAAATTTGAAAATATCTCATTTTATGTCAATTTCATGAAGGGCGTGTCTAGATAAAACTAAAGAAAAAAGAATGCTCCAAATAGAAACATGACATTTATATGAACATCTTTTTGATTCTGTTGTATGTACTCTTAAATTACTTATATGATAATGATTAAGGAATTCTTAGTATAGTAGAAGTGTTATTTCATCTTTGCAGGTTGTGGGCCCTGTCAATCACAAGTGGCAATGGAGATGGTGGGTTTGAGTTCAACAGTACTCACTCCTCATTTTCTATTTCCATTACCCTCACTGAGGAAGGGTTCATTCATGTTGCTGAGGTGAGATTTTGTTTTTATTATTCATTGTTTGCTATTATAATGCAGTGGCCACCAAAATATATATATTCTTCATTTGACAAGTTTAGTTCCAAAATGAAATCATTTGTATCTGTATCAAATGCTGAGTTCACAGATGTTTTAACAAAATTGTATTTTAACAATAATATCTAATTAACATCCTGGTATAATTTCATTTACCTGAAATTACTTGGCAATGACAGATATTTCTCACTCTAGGTGCTGACAGTTGTGTTTGATTATCTGGCAATGCTTAGAAGAGTAGGACCCTGTTACAGAGGTTTCAAGGAAATTCAGACTATTGAAAATAATGATTTCAGGTGGCAAGAACAGGTAAAGATATCTAGATATCAAAATATTTTATATGAAAACTTTTTTTCATTATTTGTCCTTCAACTGATTTCATAAGTACTAAAAAGACTATTGAGAAGTTACTCACTGATATATGAACACTAACAAGAAATATTTCTTTGAGATTTAACTTGGTAATGTTAAATCTGATTCAATGAATCTGCAGTTTATAATAAACTTTTGTTAATTGCAGTCAGAACCAGTTGATTATGTTGAAAAGATCTGTGAGAATATGCAACTTTACCCGCCTGAAGAGTATCTAACTGGGGACAGTTTGTTGTTTGAGTATGAACCACAGGTACTCAATATGGCAATTAAAATACTAATATCTATACAGTGATGTTTGTGCAATTCCCTTGCCTTACATGTTACAAATGCCTTTACCATCAAAAATAAGATATTTGTTTAAAATGTATGCCAACTGATACTTGTATGCACAACTTTATCAAGTATTTTTTGTAAAAGCAAATATTGACAATCAATGCTTTTGTATTTTGAGTATTCATTTCTGGCATTGTTAATGGTCTCTTCACTTAATATGAGTTAAATATTATATCAATTGGAGGTACTTTATATTTTTACTGGAATTGCTGAAATTAGCCAGTTTTGTAGTATAAATTGCTTGTTATTACTAATCACCTATAAAAACATAGACCACTGCATGCATATTATGGTGTTTTATTTTGCAAAAGTTTCAACAATCTATGTAGATTGAATTCAAGTAGTATTTCTTTATTGTTTCAGTTGATTGAACAGTGCCAAAATCTTATGACTCCAGACAGAGCAAACATAATGGTGTTCTCAAAAAAGTTTGAAGAGATGGGAATATGTAATCAAAAAGAAAAATGGTTTCAAACTGATCATTGTGTTGAAGGTAAAGTAACATTAAATACATATATTGTTGACCTTAATTAATAGAAAATATTGTGCCCCAGTAGCAAGTCCAGTTCACGCTTGGTACATTGATGGTCTTAGAACTGAAAACAGGCATGAAAATAATGTATTAATGATGTTCACACCTTTTTCTTGATTTTTGTTACTGAACTAAGATTATTTTAATTTGTCATCAGATGTCCCTGAAGAATGGATGCAAGCGTGGATGAGCCCTGACCTTGGGAATAATCCTGAACTGCACTTGCCAAAAGAAAATGAATTCATTGGTAAAAGAAATTTCAAGTTTGTGAGGGGGTGGGGTTGCAGTGAGTGGAGTTTCAAGAACATAACTTCCTGTTGTTATTTTCATAGTGCTAGAAGTTGTGTATCTAGTATATAATATTTGTTGTGAAGAAATAGTTTACGCTTACTCTTTAATAAAAAGCAAGCTTGAACATAGACTTACTCTTTTATAAAAAGCAAGCTTGAGCAAGATTTTCTGAACTTTTTAGCCACTGACTTCAGTCTGAAGGAACCAGATATGACACCTGTGATGGAGTTCCCTGTAGCAATTTTAGATAATGAGCAATCTAAAATATGGTACATGAAAGACATGCATTTCAATGTGCCTAAAGGTAGGTGTTTGTCTAGATATCTCAAAATATCTTTATTTGCTGGAGTCTAATATCAAACAGCATAAAATTTACAAAACATTTGAAGTAATTGAAGTATATTTTTAAAACGTATACCATAAGGTGTGTGAAGTAAATGATTATGCTAAGTAAGATCATATAAGCCTTATAATGTTTGGGTACAAAATGTGATTCATTTTCTTTTTAGCATACATATTCTTCCATCTGATATCTCCTATTGTTGGACAGACTCCACAGAGGTATGGAACATGCAATCTGTATCCAGTAATATATATCTATCTAAAATGACTAATTTGTAAATATTCCATATTAGATACCTACGGCAATAACCTTATAAATGGAGCTGGCAAATTAAAGACAAAATTAATGTAATCATGTTGATGAGATGGTGCTTATTTCACTTTGACTTTGCTCTTTCAAATATTAACATTTTCCTGAAAATTTTTCTAGCATGGTTTTGATGGATTTGATGGTGCAGCTACTTCAGCTCAAGTTAGCAGAAGAGATATATTCTGCAGATCTAGCTCAGTTGAGGTAAATACTTCTAAATTTTAAGATGAAAGCACTTTCAAATATACATATTTTAGAGAAAAAAACCTGTAAGAAGTTTTAATGTCCCTGTTTTCTTCATTCATTTATGTCTGCACATAAGGCCAAACAGTCTCGGAAGTTTTTTTTATTTTGGACACCATCTGGTGGAGAGCTAACAGGTGTTGACCAAATGTAACCTGTTCAGTCATCTTCATGAATGATACTGATCTGCAATCAAATGAGGTTCAAGGACTAATGAGACAGAATTCGAAGCAACTTTAGTCTCAGCATATTGCTGCAGCCATATGCCATTCTGCACAAGGGCAAAGGATGATGATTATGATTTGTAAACCATTGGTATTATTTCTGTTATAGCTGTGCAGCAAAAGTGCTTGAAAGTGGGCTTGAACTCCAGTTCAGTGGATTTAACCACAAATTGCATGTAAGTGGCTTTTTATTTTTCATTCATTGATGCATACATTTATCATAAAATTAGTCTATTTCGTTACTGCTTTGGTACTATAACGCCTTTAGTATGTTATATTGCTTCTTAAAAGGTAACAAACCTCATTACTCATCTGAAATCTGTATTACATTTCGATGTTTTTTAGTTTTATTATCATTATTTTTAAGGCTCTCTTTCACAAAGTGGTAAATGCCATTGCTGACTTCAACCCATCTGAGGATTTGTTTTCTACAGTTAAAGAACAGACTAAGAAAATGTATTATAACACTTGCATCAAACCCAATCATGTTGTCAGGTAATAAACATATGAGTAAAAGTATAATACATATTTATTCATAATGGAACAAGAAAAAGCACAGTTTAAAAGAGGTTTTGTATTCTGGAGTCTTATCTTCTTTTATGTTTACACATTTAATTCTTAGGAGTAATTCTGTAACATGAGTGCAGTAGGTCAGACAATGCTTGTTGCAATATCTGCAATTTATACAACTGTGAAGAAGGGTTAGGCTGTGGTGATAATTATCAGACATGATAAAGTGTATTTCAGGTTACAGTACTCTTTTGTTATCATTGTTTTTATGATTCTTTTTTTACCCATTTTTGCAGAGAGATCCGTTTGGCCATTCTTCAGGATAGGTTTTGGCCTAGCACAGACAAGCATTTTGTGGTGGACAGCTTGACTTATGACATGCTGATGAGTTTTGTTCAACAGTTTAGGACTCAAGTCTTCATTGAAGGAATGGTGCATGGCAACATGACAGTTCAAGTAAATGTCTTGTGTTGATCTATTTAAATAAAAATTCATTTTTGCCATATTTCATCTTTCTCTCTCTCTCATGATATAGCTAATATGTACTCACTTGATGCACTTACAGGAAGCACTGGACCTTGAAGTGTATATGTGTAAACAGCTCAAGTGTACGGCTGTACCAAAAAGCAGCCTTCCAAAGGTAAGAAGTACTCTATATAACAGTTAGAAGGAAGGCTATTTTTCCAGGTAGTCGAAGTGTTTCAGTTTATGTTTATGTTAATTGACCGTGTGAAAGAGAAAAGATATACAGTTTGTGAATTATTGTGAGACTTTTGTGGAAAATATTGTTACTCGCATTTCAAGTATCAAAATAACCACACATTTTTCAGACAAGAGTCCATCAGCTCCCAGCTAAAACCAGCTACTGTAGAGTGAAAACTTTTAACACCAGTGACTGCAATTCTGTGGTTACTAATTATTACCAATGTGGACCTGAAAATCTACGCCTGGCAGCACTTAATGAACTTGTGATAGTAAGTTATAAAGAAATTCACATTTATTTTCCTTTACTTGTCACTGTATTCATCTAATAGAGTGCAGGTATTTGCTTTTTTTTCACCAGTAGTAATCAACATTTCAGCCCTCATATGCCACCTACTAGGGGGAAGTAATTTTTATATACAGACACTGTATGTGTCTGTATGGGCTGACAAATCTGCCAATTTTTGTCTCACTTTAAATTTACTGAGTGGCTTTGTTTAGTAAAAAGGCATTTTTTTAAAAAAATCAGCGTCATCTTATTACTTTTACAAAAATTATTGATTTTTTGTGTCTGTTTTTGTAAGTCAGATCTTGAATTTTCAGATGCGAATGGAAGAACCATGCTTTGACATTCTAAGAACACGAGAACAGTTAGGCTATTCTGTGTTTTGCACACATCGAGATACAAATGGAGTTTTGGGGATGTCTGTCACTGTCTGCACACAGGCAAACAAATTCAAGTAAGATGGATATAGTTCTCTTCATTTTAATTTACATGCAACTGATTGCACTTGTATATAACTCAGTGAAATAACTTAATGCACTGCTAGGGCAATTCATAGTGAATGATGGTACCACACTTCAAATGCTTCACTTCATTTTCATTGATGTTTAAAAGGTTCTCTGTCAAACTATGATTGTCTGCTTTAAAATGTTGAAAGTTATATTAGTACAGTGATTATGCAAGACATTTTATTTTGTTAATAATCAATTTCATTTTTCTTCTTTTAGAACACAGTATGTGGATGAGCACATTGAGATGTTCTTGAATGAGTTTGATGAAATGCTACAGAAGATGTCTGAGGAGGAATTTGAATCTCTGGTGTGTATTAAAAAAATTAAGAAAAATAGATGAAATAAAACAGTGAAATAATAAGAAAAAATAGATAAAGAAAAAACTCAAGTAATTAGGAAAAACAGATAAAGATTAGTGGGTTAGTGTCTAATAATAGTTGAATGCATTTCTCATTTTAACAGCAAAATTGAGATTTAAAACATTTCACTGCAGGTTAATGCCATGATAACAACAAAAAAATGCGAGGACTCTCACATGGGGGAGGTAGCAGACCGCAACTGGGGCCAAATTGTACACCAGCAATATATATTTGACAGAAGGCAAAAGACAGTAAGATGGGTTGTTCTGTTTTGATGGGCAAATTTCAAAAGATGCTGGATAATAAAATATTTAAGTTTTACTTGACACTTTTTGTGTAAAAATATACACTCAAGTAATTCATGTCCAGATATCACGCTTTCTTTTTCATGCAGTTGGTTAATTAGTTCATTTTCAATGTTTACAGATTGCAGAGTTAGAGAAGTTAACATTGCAGGAGTTTAGGAAATGGCACTACCAGAACACACTGGAGTCAGAAAGAAAAAAACTCAGTGTACAGGTGAGACATTGGAGATTTAGTTTAAAAAATCATCACAATTAAAAATAAGAAGAAAGAAAGAAAGGAAGAATTAAAGTGGTGAAGTTAAAAAGTGGAGGAAATAAAATTCACAATGTGTTTTTTGAATCTCCACTTAAAAAGAGAAAATTCAAAATATGCCTTATTATTAAATTTTTCTTGGTTTTGTCTCAGGTTATTGGAGATTGTCAAGAGCATAGGAGCATTTCAGGTGGTGGTGTTTGTTCTACAGAAGTAAAGAGTCCCAACACAATGGAACAGACAGGCAATTCTTCAGGTTTATATACTTCAGAATTAAAAGATGTACGCAATATGAAAGGTAGCTCTCGGGAGAGTGTTGCACTAAACCCAGAGATGAGCAGAAGAGTTGCTGAAAGATGCTCAGAAGCAAGAAATGGGAATAAACTAAGGTACCAGATGGTCTGTTCTGAACAGTGTGAAGATGGTGTTGTTGAAGTGGCCGATATAACAGACTTTAAAGAAAGCCTGCCTTTGTTTCCCATCTGTAAGCTTCTTTTATGATGCTGGGCATTCTATCATAATTTTCTTTTAACAAATTCATATTTATGGATGTTCTGGGAATGTAAACAAATCTAATAATAAAGGGACATTTCTTAATGAACGTAACTGTTGTTGACTGTTCTTTTTTTCCATCAATTTAAAACTAATGTGAACTTTAAAAAATAAAAATTTCTTCCTCATTCAGTCAGGTTCTGTGATTTTAAAAAAAAATTGTAGTTGTAAGAAATGTCTTTTCAAGATAATCATTCTAGGTTCTACCCTAAAGATGGCCTATTTTTGAGAAAAAATGCACACACACTCCACAAAATATTTATTTTCATCTCTGACAAAAAATATATTGTAGTTGTAAGAAAGAAAGTTCTTGTCAAGATAACCATTCTAGGTTCTGCCCTAAATATTGCCTTTTTTTTTGAGAAAAAAATGCATGCACACACTTTCCACAAAATATTTATTTTCAACTCTGAAGTGAAAACTGCCTTTATTACAATTCAGCTGGTGTGAAAATCTGAACATTGTAATGGGTATAGTCTTCATAGTGTTCAATCTTCACATTTTGTTTTAAACAGTGATGCATACATGTAATGTTATATGGTACAAAGTTATTTAAGTGATGGGATGTATACCTCCTTTAAAGTGCATTTTTACTTGAAATAAAAATGCATGGAATGGGTGTGAGCCCAAGGAAAACGCCTCCTGGAAGTGTTTCTTTAATAGTAATATTAAATGGGGGAAATTCAATTTAGTACTAAAATAAGTGATAGCTGGAAAAAATAATTTGGTACAAATAGATACGGTAGATATGCGCACAAAAGATTGGATAGCAATGCACAATTGTCAATATCGCACGATAATGCGACGTCCTACAATATTCTATATCTAATCATAGAAGCTTTTTTTCTACTTTTATGATCTATTAATCTGAAGCTGTCTTGTCAGAGCAAAGTGACCCTTTACATGTTCACTCACGATGTCACACCTGTACTCTTCTTTAAATGGAGTCAGGAATGTGTTGCGGTGAAAACACGGTGGAAGGGCCTGTGTGCTTAGTAAAGAAATCGAGAAGTTTTGACAGTTGAAATAAGGGGTAAGAACCATTGCAGCTACTAAAATCAGTACCAATGAAGAATCAAATACGCACTTATTTTTTTAACAGCCTAGACACGGCGATAAATGACTATACATCCATATTATGACATACAATATGTTATCCGTACAGGTTTGAAACAGTCAGAATCAGTCTTTTTAATTTTGTCTGTATCAAATAAAGAAAAAGAAATCCGGGTGTATGTAGATAAAATTTTGAACTATTTTCTTGGAAAGGCAGCGTCTACATAGTGTACTGGCAGGTACTATGTACCCCCTCCCCCCTCTCCCTCACGTGGTGTCACACACCATTAAGACTGGGTTCCCATGCCTATATAGATCGATCCATCTGGATCGATATAACTCCCTGGGGAGTCTCACTAAATTGCTATCAACTAACCGGCTTAAATGTCTGTCATGCCTACCGAATCAGCCAGGTGTTAAAGATAATTACTCCTTAACAGCTTTACTAGGCGTGACAGACATTTAAGCTGATCAAGTTGACAGCAATTAAGTGAGACTACCCAGGGAGATAGATGGATCCAAATATCTGTTGGAATAGTCCCTAAGATTATTAGTTTTGATTTTAATGTAATCAGTATTCGCACACTGTTATAAGATATAAAATCAGATTGCATTAAAAATTAAGGAAAAAACTTTGACAGAAGTTTCTTTTCAGATTAACATTCCATTATGGAAATGGCAACTCCCCTAGATGAACTAGATGTGAACAGTTGCTTTGATGATATTGCTTTAGCAGAAAATAAGTAAGTTCACCTGACAGGGGCGGATCCAGACATATTTTCTGACAGTCTTTCAAATTATTTTTGTTGATCCATCCTCCATTTTTGACTGTCTTCCGACAGTAAAAATCAGATACCCGTCAATGTAAACTTGAAAATCTGACCATCTTCTGGAAGACCCAGAAGACAGCCTAAATCCGCCCCTGCCACCATGACTTCTGATCAGAAAATAATTTTGAGTGATATTTCCATAGTGGCCTAAGTTGTTCTTTTCAGAATACGGATCAATGGCTTTTAACAACTGATTTGTGGATGAATGGATTGATGCCTATCATGTTGTTGTTTTTTTTTTAAACAAGGCCTTTCTCTTCTAAATCATAGTCATCATTATATCAGTTTTTTTTTTAAATTGAGGTTTCAATCAGAAGGATTTACAGAGGGATTACAAACAGGCAGAACACAAGGGTACAATGAAGGCTATATGTTAGGCAAGGAGAAGGGTGCAGATATGGCAACTGAGGTGAGAATTAAAAAAGGTTGAATATTCAAACTTGCAGCATTTTTTTTTTTTTTTGGTGATATTTAAAGTCAATTTAAATTTAATGGTATAATTTTGAAGAAAGCATATATAATCTACCTGAACTTATCTGTTCATCATCTGGCATAGAGTCTTGAGGAATTTTTATTAGCATGAAATGGCTAGTGTGTATTATATATAATCTATAGAATTCATAGTAATGCCAATCTTCAAAGAACTATTTTTAAACGACACCTCTAGAGATATTTTGAGTGGAATATCTTACACTGAACGGATAATTATGATATAGTAGTGAATGAATTTGGTACCTGAAATGGTTGTCATTTATGTTGTGCATATTTGGTGCAATGTGTTGAAACAGTCCCTTAATGGTTAAACCTCATTTATTTCACCTTATGACAGATTGGGTTCTATGATGGATACACTGGGGTCATGAAGTCACTGATAGAGGAATCAACAAACGAGAAAACAAGGTTAGAACCTGACCTGCATACTTGTATGATACTTTGTGTCTTTTTGGGCTTTATTGTATTAAATTACAGGGCTCGACATTAGCGCCTGTCCGCCTGTCCGGGACAGGTAAAAATTCAGTTCGGACAGGTGAAGTTGCAGGGTTGGCTGTCCGACGGACAGGTCATGTTTTATGAGAAATTTGGATCAAAAATCTTTAAAAAATCATTTTTTGTTGCATGCTAACGTCTTTTTGCCTCTTCCTAGACAACATTGAAAAGAGTGACCTACTTTTGGCACAAAACACATGCAGTCGCAAAACGAAGTCTGAGTAAAATTACCGCCAAATTATGAAAGTGAACACCCTCCAGAACTTCATCAGACAAAATTTATTCACATATCAGGTTCACTACTGAACATTTATTTAGTTAAAATCTACGTGCTCTAGTAATAAAGACACTTCCAAAAACAGAAACTACACAAGTACTATGCTGGAGCCAGATTGGACTGGATGAACTGGCTATATCTAGTTCCTTGTCAAGGCAACATACTGCCTGTCAATCAAACTCGTGGTATGCTATCTACTCACTATAGAAAGTGAAATCTTTGGAACTGAAGATCTTGTTGAAATGTTGTTTATTTGCCAAAATATAACCTGAAATTTTGTATGATGCTTTCTTTAATGACTCTAGCATCACCTCTGTTATTTACAGTTTAAAATTTAGTGCTGGAATATGATAAATTAACATTGCTCTCATATACCAGTGTTATATTGATGTAAGGAAGAAATAAGTAATAACAAATATGAGAATTTAAATAGAAAGAAGGGGAACCTTTTTATGCTGATTCTATTTAATTCATATATTTTTAAAAAATCAAACATGTGATAACCCCTTTAGAAGTTAAATTGTTGACATAAGTAAAGTATTATAAAATGAATATAAAATAATGAATAAATAAAATAATATATATAATTTTCATTGAACTTTATTCAAATATTATAAAATTTGAATATTTTTATAAAATTATTTTAACAGTATCACCTCCCCACTTCCCGCTCAGGTTTTTTTTTTTTTTTTTTTT